AGTGGGCCCTGCCTGGGAGTCCAGCAGAGCTGTTCCTGGTGGTGTAGTGGGAGTGAGCCAGTCCTGAGGGTGTGAGAGCAGAAGAATTAGCGCTGGCCTTTGCTCATTGCTGCACAGGGTTAACTAGCTGAGGCAGTGCCCGAGAGCTCACCCTGGTGGTGAGGAGGGAGAGCAGATGGGCTGACCAACCTAGCAACCACCCAGGCCCAGAATCAGAACTATGACTTGACACATCCTAACATCCACTCCATCTTTGTATATTGGAGCATATTCAGGGGCTAATTCTGTAGACTCAAAGCTGCAGAATCTTTATGACACAGGACAACAACAGGATATCCAAGAGGAATTCCAGTGAGGGCCCAGCATCCATAGTGTAGCAGAAACCAGAGCCTCAAGCCAGAACAGAATATTGTTTAAAGATGTGTTATGCTTATTGTGCTGTGTAACATTTGTTTAATGATGCAAAGATGTGTTACATTCTTTTATGTTGCATTTGTTAACTTTGTGAAGCTGTGTTACTTTGCCTGTCTAAAACACCTGAATTGTCTAATAAATGGCCAGTAGCAAGGCAGGAGAAAGGATAGGTGAGGGCTGGCAGGCAGAGATAATGAATGGGAGGAGAAATCTGTGAGGAGATCAAGGAGTGAGAAAAGAAGGGGCCAGCCACCCAGCTACACAGCTGGAATAAGAAGGAAGACAAAATATACAGAAATAATGGAAGGTAACAGCGTAAAGACAAAAGATAGATGGGATAATTTAAGTTAAGAAATCTGGCTAGAAATAAGCCAAGCTAAAGCCAGGCATTTATAAGTAATAATAAGCCCCTGTGTGTATTTATTTGGGAAGTGGGTGGTGGACCACCCCCCCAAAGAATAAAGAGGCAAAAGAGAAAAACAACACAGACCAATGGCTCATTGTAGTGAACTGAGTATGGAAAATAAAAAGACCCAGAGACTGAAATTTGGGTTCAGGCTTCAGGCCAAAGATCAGAAAAACAAAGCAGCCGGCCACTAGCTCTTACTTCTACCTATGCTCAGACCAAAGGGGCGATCCTCAGATTGCTCCCCTCTTCACTGCTCCTCAAATTCACTCAGCCTGCTATGCTCTCCTCAGTGGGGCTAGAGACTAATCCTGAGACTAATTCTCAAACTGAATGCCGTCCTGTCCTCATTGTGGCTGGAGAATGGATGCCAGCTCTGGGACCCTGTTCCTGTCTTAAATACCTCCCATGAGTTCTGGGATTAAAGGCATGAGCTCTATTACTCTTTAGACTCATTCAGTCTCATGTAGGTCCGGGTGGCCTTGAACTCAGAGAGATAGATCTATCTGTCTTTGTCTCCTGAGTCCCGGGATTAAAGGTGTGTGCCATCACTGCCTCACCTCTATAGTTTGTGGCTGACTTTTCTTTTTGAAGCCTGAGGCAAGCTTTAATATTAAAAAAAAAATATCACCACAATGAACCCTTGCAAGTAAAGATGTATGGACTTAAGGGCATAATGTATGACTCACTGTGTCACACTACAGCTTTCATGATGAGATTTTTCTTCTTTCCTTTCTTTTAAGATTTATTTTATCTTGTGGGGGAAAGGTTGCAAGGGCAGAGAGCACATCTGAAGGGATGGGGAGATGAAAGGGACTGAAAGGCAAGATGTGAAATCCACAAACAATCAATGAACAATTAAGTCAGAAAACAAAAAAGAAAATTAAATATACAACCTACCATGGGGGTGGGAGGTGGAGAGGTGGAGGGGTAGGGGTGGGAGGTGGAGGGGTAGGGGTGGGAGGTGGAGGGGTAGGGGTGGGAGGTGGAGGGGCAGGGGTGGGAGGTGGAGGGGCAGGGGTGGGAGGTGGAGGGGTAGGGGTGGGAGGTGGAGGGGTAGGGGTGGGAGGTGGAGGGGTAGGGGTGGGAGGTGGAGGGGCAGGGGTGGGAGGTGGAGGGGTAGGGAGGTGGAGGGGTAGGGGTGGGAGGTGGAGGGGTAGGGAGGTGGAGGGGTAGGGGTGGGAGGTGGAGGGGTAGGGGTGGGAGGTGGAGGGGTAGGGGTGGGAGGTGGAGGGGCAGGGGTGGGAGGTGGAGGGGTAGGGAGGTGGAGGGGTAGGGGTGGGAGGTGGAGGGGTAGGGGTGGGAGGTGGAGGGGCAGGGGTGGGAGGTGGAGGGGCAGGGGTGGGAGGTGGAGGGGCAGGGGTGGGAGGTGGAGGGGCAGGGGTGGGAGGTGGAGGGGCAGGGGTGGGAGGTGGAGGGGCAGGGGTGGGAGGTGGAGGGGCAGGGGTGGGAGGTGGAGGGGTAGGGGTGGGAGGTGGAGGGGTAGGGGTGGGAGGTGGAGGGGTAGGGGTGGGAGGTGGAGGGGCAGGAGGTGGAGAGGTGGAGGGGCAGGGGTGGGAGGTGGAGGGGCAGGGGTGGGAGGTGGAGGGGCAGGGGTGGGAGGTGGAGGGGCAGGGGTGGGAGGTGGAGGGGTAGGGGTGGGAGGTGGAGGGGCAGGAGGTGGAGAGGTGGAGGGGCAGGGGTGGGAGGTGGAGGGGCAGGGGTGGGAGGTGGAGGGGCAGGGGTGGGAGGTGGAGGGTAGGGGTGGGAGGTGGAGGGGCAGGGGTGGGAGGTGGAGGGGCAGGGGTGGGAGGTGGAGGGGCAGGGGTGGGAGGTGGAGGGGTAGGGGTGGGAGGTGGAGGGGCAGGGGTGGGAGGTGGAGGGGTAGGGGTGGGAGGTGGAGGGGTAGGGGTGGGAGGTGGAGGGGCAGGGGTGGGAGGTGGAGGGGTAGGGGTGGGAGGTGGAGGGGTAGGGGTGGGAGGTGGAGGGGCAGGGGTGGGAGGTGGAGGGGCAGGGGTGGGAGGTGGAGGGGTAGGGGTGGGAGGTGGAGGGGCAGGGGTGGGAGGTGGAGGGGTAGGGGTGGGAGGTGGAGGGGTAGGAGGTGGAGAGGTGGTGGGGTAGGGGTGGGAGGTGGAGGGGTAGGGGTGGGAGGTGGAGGGGCAGGGGTGGGAGGTGGAGGGGTAGGGGTGGGAGGTGGAGGGGTAGGGGTGGGAGGTGGTGGGGTAGGGGTGGGAGGTGGAGGGGTAGGGGTGGGAGGTGGAGGGGCAGGGGTGGGAGGTGGAGGGGTAGGGGTGGGAGGTGGAGAGGTGGTGGGGTAGGGGTGGGAGGTGGAGGGGTAGGGGTGGGAGGTGGAGGGGTAGGGGTGGGAGGTGGAGGGGCAGGGGTGGGAGGTGGAGGGGTAGGGGTGGGAGGTGGAGGGGTAGGGGTGGGAGGTGGAGGGGTAGGGGTGGGAGGTGGAGGGGCAGGGGTGGGAGGTGGAGGGGTAGGGGTGGCAGGTGGAGGGGCAGGGGTGGGAGGTGGAGGGGTAGGGGTGGGAGGTGGAGGGGCAGGGGTGGGAGGTGGAGGGGTAGGGGTGGGAGGTGGAGGGGTAGGAGGTGGAGAGGTGGTGGGGTAGGGGTGGGAGGTGGAGGGGTAGGGGTGGGAGGTGGAGGGGCAGGGGTGGGAGGTGGAGGGGTAGGGGTGGGAGGTGGAGAGGTGGTGGGGTAGGGGTGGGAGGTGGAGGGGTAGGGGGTGGGAGGTGGAGGGGCAGGGGTGGGAGGTGGAGGGGTAGGGGTGGGAGGTGGAGAGGTGGTGGGGTAGGGGTGGGAGGTGGAGGGGTAGGGGTGGGAGGTGGAGGGGCAGGGGTGGGAGGTGGAGGGGTAGGGGTGGGAGGTGGAGAGGTGGTGGGGTAGGGGTGGGAGGTGGAGGGGCAGGGGTGGGAGGTGGAGGGGTAGGGGTGGCAGGTGGAGGGGCAGGGGTGGGAGGTGGAGGGGTAGGGGTGGGAGGTGGAGAGGTGGTGGGGTAGGGGTGGGAGGTGGAGGGGTAGGGGTGGGAGGTGGAGGGGTAGGGGTGGGAGGTGGAGGGGCAGGGGTGGGAGGTGGAGGGGTAGGGGTGGGAGGTGGAGGGGTAGGGGTGGGAGGTGGAGGGGTAGGGGTGGGAGGTGGAGGGGCAGGGGTGGGAGGTGGAGGGGTAGGGGTGGGAGGTGGAGGGGTAGGGGTGGGAGGTGTGGAGGTGGAGGTAGAGGGAGTTTTACCATTGTAAGCTGACTGTTGGGGGGGGATTGTGCAGGTTTACTTGTGAGCATTGTACTAATAAGCTAAAAACCAACAAGGAGCAAGCAAGGCAGGGCATGGTAGTGCCCTTGTTCAATCTCAGCACTCAGGAGGCAGAGGCAGGAGACGCTGTTAGTTTGAGGACAGCATGTTTTATGTAGTGAATTCTGTTGATGTAAGTTTCTGTCCTGTCACGTCCTGCCCCCTTCAGCCCCAAATAAGCACACAGAGACATATTAAGTATTAAACTGTTGGCTGATGGCTAGGGCTTCTTACTGGCTAGCTCTCTCTAAATTATTAACCCATAACTACTAATCTATGTATTGCCTCGAGACTGTGGCTTACCCATAATTCAGCACATTACTCCTTGGGCAGCATGTTGTCTCTTGATGGCCTCCCTCTGTCTTCTTCTCCTCAGCCTTCTCCTGGTCTAGTGACCCTACCTATCTTCTTCCCTGGCTATTGACCAATCAGCGTTTTATTCATCAACCAATAAGAGAAACACATATACAGAAGGACAGCCCCCATCAGAATTCCACATCATGTGTTTCAAAGACAAACATGTGGGGCCTGGAGAAACAGCTCAGTGGCTAAGGGTACCTGTTGCTCCTGCATAGGGCTAGGGTTCAGTTCTGACTACCCACTCTTGACTCGCAACCATCTGCAACTCCAGCTCTAGGGGAGCTGACACTCTTTTCTGGCCCCAGTGGCACTAGGCACACATGTGATGCATAGACATTCATGCAGGCAAAACACTCATGCACATAAAATGAAAATAAATACATCTGTTTTAAAAGTCAAGGGTTCTCTTCATGCCTGTTACATAAGGAGGTGAAGGCAGCCATACCCCAGACTGTTGGGGCAAAAGGGCTCTCCCCCTGCCTCAAATTCTTCCCCCTTCTCATGGCCCCCCTTAATTTTCTGTGTCTTTTTATCCACCTCTCTACTAGGGGAATATACTGGAGAAGCTGAGAATTTGCTCCATGCCAAAATTTTTTCGATTTCTACACGATGCGGTGACGATAAAGAGGAACTATCAAGTGGTGGTGACAGACCTGTGCTTTGAGGAAGTCCCCGTGAGGCTGTTTCAGCCCAAGGCAACTTCTTCCAGTCTCAGGAGAGGCATCATCTTCATCCACGGAGGGGGTGGAGTGTTTGGCAGCCTGGGTAAGAAGCATCCCTGGGACATGGGGCAAGAAATACATCAAGACCTGCATAACCTCAACTACATCCCACGAGGTCTTTCCGGGATGGAGTCAAAGCACACAATAGCTGAGGATCGATCCTTCAATAGTGAATAGATTAAAGTTGAGAGTCATACTATGCCATAGTCTCAGTTTTAATAGCGGGCAGTAAGGTTCAACAAAGTTTCCAAAGTAAAGGACATGAAATGATTCATTTCTCTCTCTTCTCCTCCCCTCCCCTCCATCTTATCCAGTCTCTCCCACAAGGATCTCAATCCCATGCATTAAAAAAAAAAAAAAAAAACTCTGCTGGGACCACTATGCCTGGCCCTTCCACTCCATATCCCAGTGATGGTATCTTAGCACCACTTTATCCCTTTGGGCTGATGTTTTCCCTGAATCAGAGGAATCTTTGAAAATAACAGTTTCAAACCTGGCATCGCTTATCTTTAGCATCTTCTATGCCCCTCAGTGACCTCTCTGAACTGGTCACCTGTGTCTCACCCTGAGGCTGCATTGTTAAATCTCCTCCACTGCCCTGTGTTATGGATACATCTGTGGTTTGGGAGAGATCCCTACCATCTTAACTATCTTTTTTTACTCATTAAAAACCCGTGCATGAGAAAGTGGAAGTTTAGAAAAGTTATTGCATAAAAGGAGACATTGATAAATGAGCTAGTAGTTGCATAGTTGGGTGGTTGGATGGATGGCTGCTTGCATGCATGCATGCTTGTCCTAATTTTCCCATGTGAGAGCAATTTCTCCCGTCCCTTCTCCCTGACTCTTAAGGGTCACTTACTGCCACCCGGTGGTGGAAATATCCATGGCAGCTGGAGGTGCTGTCATGATGTCCTCTTTAGGTCACAGACTATGAAGGCATCCCATCTATGGAACCCACCTATGTTCAAGTGTTTCCTCCTGCATCAGAAGCCACTGGGAATCCACTTCACCCATGCTGCCAGTGGTTCAGCAGGTATTTATTGACCACATACTTAGCTTCAGACCCTCTCCAGGCTCCAGGAACTCACTGGAGAAGAAGACCCAGTCCCTGACCCATGTGTCAAAGGAGAAGGCTGAAACCTGCAGGAGAAGACAAATGCAGAAGTGGCTTCAGACGTGGAAAACTCTCAGGCACTTATATACCCAGAAATACATTTTAAATACTACCTCTCTCCAAGACTGAGGGTACTAATCGTGGTGATGCCTTGCCTGCCTCACCCTCGCTCCAGCCCTGTGACGTCTACAAGGAAGAGCTTCAGTGAAAAACTCTCGGCCAGGACCAACTTGAGAAAGAAGAAAAATGTCAGGGTGACAGTGTAGGGAGTGAGGCTGGGCAGTTCACAAGGCCCAGAGCCCAGGTCACAGTTAGTAGAGGCCTTTCCCTCTATATTTATACTATACAAACGAACACAGGCTATATTTAAACTCTCCTGGAGTTTAACTCCTAAAAATTCAAACTTTCAAAGCCATACCCAGGGCTGCCCCTCGGCTGTTTCAGCCTCCTCTGGGGTGGAGCCAGGCATCTTTATTGTAGATAGTGGCCAGGAGGCTGAGACTCTTTGTGAAGAACCTTGGACACAGAAGCTGGATACCCAGAGAGCTGCGACTGTCACCTAAGCTGCTGTGTCTGCTCTTTCAACCCTTTGTCTATTGTGCTAATGGCACCTGTGCCTACACCAAAGTGCCCTCAATACTGGAATTACCTGGTATCATTTTAAAAATCCCGTTTTGATGCTTCCCGCTGCGATCATGCTGATCCAGTGGGTCAAGGCAGCCAGGGCAGAAGGTGTGCAATGGACCATCCCATTTCTGCATGCTGATGGCTGGGCCTGGGAGGGGCTGAGTCAGGGGAGAACTTGATACACTGGACCAGGAAGCATTATGCACTAATGCTAAAGTACATACTTCTAAAACTTTAGGTGCACTAACCTACTGATTAGAAGGTACCATTTGTGGGGGCTGGAGAATAGCAAAGAACCTTTCCTGCAGAAGACCCAGGTTTGATTCCCAGAATCCACAAGGGTGACTCACAACCGTCTGCAACTCCAGCTCCAGGACATCCAGCATTTTCTCCTGGCCTCTGTAGGCACCCACCCGACACACTCAACTCATGCAGATATGCAAATAATTTACATACATAAATAAAAATTTAGCCTGGTGATAGTGGCATATGCCTTTAATCCCAGCATTTGGGAGGCAGAGGCAGGCAGATCTCTGTTTTGAACCCCCGCAAAAAAGTTAAAAATAGGTTTTTAAATGTACTACCCAACCACTGTTTATGTCCTAATTAATATTAATATGTGAAAATATTAATACTCCCAGGTAGTGGGTCCTATTTTCCCAGTCTTGGCATTGTCAATTTCAGGTCCTTGACCCTTCCTTGTCCTCAGTTTCCCCAACCTGTGGAAGTTCAGTCCCCGTATCCATTCAAGCTTAGACACTCAAATGCTTAAGGCATACATCTGGCTTTGCCAGGGGACAGCTGATGAGGTCCCTTCAGAGAAGGTAAGAACAGGTGCAGACAGAGGACCTCAACTTCATGACCACATAACAGGTGACATCCTAGGGCTATGGTGGACACTCCTCATGAGCTAACTTTCACCCTGTCTCCTCTTTCAGATTCCTACCATACCCTGTGCAGTTTCTTAGCCCAGAAGACAGACTCAGTGCTTCTGGCAGTGGGGTGAGTGGCTGGGGACACTTAGTTGTCAGTTTTTTTCATTGCGTTGACTTCTACCTGAAGGGAGATAAAACTGAAGGGAGAAAGGATTTGTTTGACTCATGGATTCAAAGGTTTCAGTTTATGGTCTGCTATGGCTCTGTGGTGTGGCGAAGCGTCATGGCAGCAGAAGCACTTGGCAGAGTGTAGCTGGTCACCCCCAGGGTGGTCAGGAAGTAGAGACTGAATGGTTAAGAACAGGGTTCTCTTCGAGGTACAAGCTCAGGGAGCCACCTCCAACTGTCTCCCAACAGTCGTCAAACGCTAAATCCATCAGTTAGCTCATCCATCAAAGCAGTCAAGACCCTTGTGATGCAATCATTTCTCAATGATTGGATCTGCCATCTGGGGACCGAGCCTTCACAATGACCTTCATGTGTGGGATACTTCATATGAAAAAGGTAACCTTTCCCCTTTGGGTACCAGAGGCTTATGGTGATTATTTCATAATGTAAAATGCACACAGACAACCTCCAATAGCCCCCAATTTCCTAACAGTTTCAGAGCTATTCAAAAGTTCGTGTACACGGGCCAAATGCTTAGCTTTGAGATTCTATGAAATTTTCAATTCAGTGCTAATGCTTCAGATAGTCAATGGCATAGTGCGAACATTCTTACTTCCAAAGGGAGGAAGTGAGGGAAGAGAAAGGAGAAATGGGTTCAAAATGAGACTAAAGCATATACAAATGATAAAGCCTGTAGCTCCGTGTCCAGCATCTATGGTTCCTGGAGGCATGATGTGAAAGCCAATGGATTTCTGCAGCCCTGTTTCTGTCTCGTTCCCAGCAGCAGCCCTCCTAGCCACTCTATTGGGGAGGCTTTGTTTTTGACTGCAGCTTTCTTCTGTAGTCATTCCACACCTCTGCCATCACCACCTTCTTTGGACATCCTTATAGTGTAGGCTTTACTATTACCCCTTCAGATATTACCCCTGGAGGGGAGGGATTCCTGCAGGGAGTCTGAGTCACTCATAGATCACCTAGTCTCCCAGAATTTCCTTTGAAATTGCTGTGGAAGCCTCCTAAACCCTGAAACTACTCAAGTATGCAATCATGGGTTATGGAAGGTACCGAGACCTGTGGTCTGAACAAACAGTGGCTGACACCATGAATGTGGCTGTCTGTGTGAGCGTCTCGTGGGTGAAAATGGCTAACTACCTGAGCAGACCTCATGTAGCCCTTTCTGAGAAGGACACTTGGTGATGCTCTCCTCTAAGCAGTGAGTCTTTCAGATGAGTTTTGTGTTTTCACCCTGGAGTATGTGATGTGGATCTGACCAATCCCTATCCTCCACACTGAATTTATTTTTAATGATGCTGCTCTCTTTAACAACCCCACTTCCATGTTCAGAATTTTCAATAAGCTACTTTTGGACTTTATTTTCAAATCCTATTTTTTGTTCCAAATTCTCACTGTGAAAGAAGCCAGCAGTAATCCAGCTGTGGTAACAGCCTGAACGCTGGGCTGGCTTAAAACTTGTTCCATCAGATAAATCATCTTTAAATTTAAACTCCAATAAAGTACCAGGACATGGGTAAGGTAGAAACAATCTCTTTGCCATGATATCATACAAATAACCTCCAGTATAACTCCAAACACTTCTTACCACCCTTGAAAGCCTCATGAGAACTTCCTTTCCTATAATCTCCAGTTTAGCTCCACCTGCAGTATTTTTGGGGGACTCCCTTAGTCACATCTTTAAACTTCTCCAAATTCCTCCCCAAACCATTTCCTAAGGTTTTGTAGCCACTCCCACCATCAGGTAGTCATAACAACAACTCCACATGGCTAGTATTACTTTGTGTTTTCATCGATGTGATGAATGAGTGAGAGAAATGCCTTAGGGAAGAGGGTATGTTTCAGTTCCTGGATTCAGATGCTTTAGTCCATGTCAGTTCTGTTCTCTTGCTGTGGGTCTGTGGTGAAGTCAAAGATTCACTGGTAGGAGAGGTAATAGTGGAAACTTGCTCCGCCCCATGCCAGCCAGAAGGAAGAGAGTCTGAAAATGTCCAGGGACAAGATGCTTTCAAAGGCACACTCTTAGTCTCCTACATAGCTGGACAGTTTCAGGACTTCTGACAACCTCACACAGACAGACATGTAGACAAAACATCAGTGAACATAAAATAAAAATAAATTACATATTAAAACAATGTATTTGTGTGTGTGTGTGTGTGTGTGTGTGTGTGTGTGTGTGTGTGTGTGTGTGTGTGTGTGTGCCTATGTGCCTGTGTGCCTGGGTGAGTTAATATGCAGACTCAGAATCCCATAGTAACCAGAAGAGGTTATCAGAGTATCCTGGACCTGGAGTTAAATGTGGGTTGTGAGCTACATTGTGGGTACTTGGACCTGAACTCTAGTCCTTTGCAAGACCAGTAAGTGCTCTTAACTGCAAAACCATCTTTCTCTAGCCTTTAAGCTAACTTGTTAGGCTAACATACATACTGATGGGTTTCATTGTGGTGTTTTCATGTGGATAGGTCATTTATTCACGCTCCTCTCTAATCCTCCTAAAGCTTTGTAACTTCTTTCTTTCTTTCTTTCTTTCTTTCTTTCTTTCTTTCTTTCTTTTTTTTTTTTTTTAAGAGCACAAATGAGCTTTTATATGTTTACTTTTCACTAGTTTAAATCCTGGAAGGGTACAGTATCACACGGATTCTGTGTCCAGTGGCCTTTGCAGGAAGGTTGCTTCGGAATTTGGCACGAACCATGCCACTGTTTCCATGAGCCCGAGTTACTTTCCCCCGGATCACTCTGGTTTTGTTTGGTTTGCCTCCGGGTGTCACCATGTTGTTTTTCGCTTTATACACATAAGCACATCTCTTGCCCAAGTAAAATTCAGTTTCGACTCAGGCATAAACACCTTCAATTTTAAGAAGAGCTGTGTGTTCTTGCTGGTTCCAGACACCTTGCTTATAGACAGCAAAAATGGCCTTGCACTACAGCCTTCCAGACATATTTGCCTTTTAGAAGTCTTGTTCCCAGCAGGCCCCAGCAATCTGCCCCCAAAGTTCAGCAGCAGCCGCTTTGTAATTTTTTTAATAACAGTTATAATCAAGAGATCTCTCCTTCTTTCCTTCCTTCCTTCCACTCTTGCCTCAAACGCCACACATGACTACATAACTATGTAACCCTGAACTTTTGTTCCTTGTATCCCCCTCCAGCTCCTGAGTACTGGGATTGCAGGGATACCCACCACACCCTGTTTACGCAGTCTTTGTACTAGGCGAGCATTCTACCAATTGAGCTACACCTCCAGCCCCTCGCGAGGGTTTTCTAAAAACATATAGACACAAATAAAGCTATGCATAAAGGATGTAGAAAGAATGATGAGTCTAGGACTCAGAGTATTCCTTGAATCAGTTAGTCAGGAACAAAGATGGTAAAGGCAGCCCAAACTGGCTAAAGGTCATGATTAAGGTCCTGGTTTTTCTGAGGCAGCGGTTTTTCAGGAGTTCATTGCATGGAAAAAAAAAAAAGTAAAAATATATCTACCCACTAAAGGCATACTGGCCTACTGTACAGGAACCAATTAGGAGGATGCTGAAAAAACAAAACAACAACAACAAAACAACCCAATAGGCCTTTGAGTGGATGGAAGGACAGCTAGGGTGTGTCTTAGTGAAGTGACTGAAACACCCTGGCCAAAACCACTTGGGGAGGAAAGAGGTTATTTCACTCACACTTCTGTATCACAGTTCATTAGCAATGGTAGTCAGGACAGGAACTCAAACTGGGCAGGAACCTGGAGGCAGGAGCCATGGAGGGTGCCTCTTGCTGTCTTGTTCAAGCCATTTCCTTATAGCACCTAGAACCACTAGCCTCAGATGGTGCCACCCACAATGGGCTGGGCCCTCCCACATTGATCCTCAATCAAGAAAATGTATCTAAGAATTGCTCACAAGCCTATCTAGCAGGGGGTGGGGTGGGGGTACTTGGGGGGTTGGGTATCTTCTCATTTGGGGCTCCCACCTTCAAGAGAATGCTGAGTGTTTCAGGTTGACATATACCTAGCCAGCACAGCATCTCTTTACAATCTAGGGCCCCTCTCTAAGAAACCACTCAGCAGGACACAGATTAGAGAAGAGAGGGAGGATTTACATCCTCAGTTTTCACATTTGCCTCTTTAGAAACACATTCAGCTCTGACATCCACAAGCTGTCACACAGTACAGCTGTGTCACTGGGATAAGATGGAACCTTTCTGATGACTTTGGGAGAAGGCATCACTGTTTAATATCCAGGAACCCACCCATGTGGGTTTTCATAGTGTCTGAGCATCACCATTAGAACCCACTTCTTCAGAAGTGTTCCAAACAATGAAGGTTTCACAAACCATGCACACAGACAGGCTGCAGGCTACTGCTCAGTGTAACTTTTGCCTTATGTTTGAAGAGATCTAGTCAAGGGACCTGGGTTGTGATACAGCGGTTGGGGAAATGACTCAGCCAGAGGAGGGGGTCTGTACAACCAGAGGACCTCAGTCGGCAGTGCATGGGAGATGTCTGAGAGAATCTGAACCTGGAGAGATATTATCTCCTACCCTCCCCTCCCCTCCTCTCTTGTCCTCTCTTAATCCCTCCTCTCCCTCTCCTCCCCTCCCCTCTCCTCCCCTCTCCTCTCCTTTCCTCTCCTCTCCTCCTCTCTCTCTCCTCCCCTCTCCTCTCTCCCCCCCTCTCCCCTCTCTTGTCCTCTCCTCTTCTCTCCCCTCCCCTCCTCTCCTCCCCCTTCCCCTCCCCTACTCTCCTCCCCCTTCCCCTCCCCTACTCTCCTCTTTGTTGTTTTCTTTCCTTTTCTTTCTCTTCTCTGAACACAAGCATCTTAACCTTGCCCCTGATCTCAGCTCCCTGTTTTTTATAGATAGGCAGACCAGTAGGACTTTTGATTGCCATTTTTTCTTCTGTCAATCCAGATTTTTTTGTTTTTTGTTTTTTTTGTCTTTTCCCCTGCTTTAAAAAACAGATGTTTTGTTTTCTATTTTTATTTATGTATGGGGGGGGGGATTCACATGCTGTGGTATAAATAAGGAATCCGGAGAACAACTTGCCAGAGTCAGTTCTATCCTGCTATTCTTTGACTTGTAGCAAATTCAGGTCAGGCCAAAAAACTAGGAAACAGCTTCCTTAATCTCTCTGGTCCAAAACTTTGGGCTTTTAATTTATATGATTTGCCTGATCATCTCTAGGCATCACCAGATGAGTCTGAATAGAGAATCCCAGCTATTTTGACATTGGACAAATTCTTCAGATTCACACAGGAGAAAATGGGGGGGGGGTAACTATTCTTACTTAGTCACTCATTTCAGGGTTTGATCAAATTCAGTCTCAGGTGCACAGAGGACCATGTTTAAATGGACTTTACCAACCTGACCAGATATTGGTATGATGTCTTTCTCTTTCCTCTTTAGGTACAGAAAACTTCCTGACTACCCCCACCCTGCTGGTTTGCAGGATTGCCTGAATGCCTCAATCCATTTCTTGAAGTCTCTGAAAGCCTACGGGGTGGACCCCTCCAGGGTTGTGATCTGTGGAGAAAGCATAGGAGGTTCCGCTGCGGCCACCATCATCCAGATTGTATTGGGCAGACCAGATCTTCCTCAGATCCGGGCTCAAGTCCTCATTTATCCAATCCTTCAGACAATCAACTTCCAGTTACCATCACATCTGCAGAACCAAAATGTTCCATTCCTCACTAGAGACTTCATGATAACCTGCATTCTTAAGTACTTTATCATTGACCCCTCCTGGAAAGATGCCATTTTGACAGGAGCTTATATTCCCCCAGACACCTGGATGAAATACAGGGAATGGCTCAGCTCTGATAATATTCCCCAAAGGTTCGGGAACAAAATACAGCAACCTCAGTTTCCTAGGCCTTTTAACAAATCTGCCTATCTAGAACTCAAACAGTTTATGGACATAAGCATTTCACCCCTTGTGGCAGACAATGAAGTCATTGCCCAGCTCCCAGAGGCATTGCTGGTGAGCATTCACTGGGATGTTCTCCGAGATGACATTTTGCTCTACAAGAAGCGCCTGGAAGACCACGGGGTCCCTGTGACCTGGTACAATGTAGAGGATGGCTTTCATGGATGTATATTCTTGTTTGATAAGTTTTTCTCTTTCCCTTGTTGCTGGACAATAATCAATGCCATTGTGAGTTTCATAAAGGGAATTTGAAGGTTTGCACACAGGATGAGTGGTTGAACACTCACCGGCTGCACATAAGGTTCTGAACTAAATACCTAGCACTGTAGACTGTCAGAATGAGAGAGAGAGATAAAGGGAAGGATGTATAGATGATAGATAGATGGCAGACAGATAGATGATAGATAGATAGATGGATAACAGATGATAGATAATGATAGATGGATGATAGATAGGTAGATACATGATAGATGGATAGATAGATAGATGGTAGATAAATAGATGATGGATGATAGATAGATAGATAGATAGATGGATGATAGATAGATAGATAGATAGATAGATAGATATAGATATAGATAGACAGATAGATAGTGTAAGGAAGGCTTCTGCCCCAGCTGCAACCTTAGATGGCCTCCAGTTTTCATGGAAGGAAACACCGAGTAGGTGCAAGCTACAGGGAGCAGAGCTAAAAGGGAAATTATGGTCTCCTGGGTGAAGGCTTGCACCCCTAACCATGTCCACTGCTGCATCTAGCAACATTCTTTAGCACCCCTGTTCATAGAGTGAGCATGATAGAAGAAAGAAAATGTCTTTACATTTTCTTGAATTTTAACTTACATTCTATGAATAAATGCAGACAAGCAGAATATCAACAGTGAGGTCTCTGCACTCAGTAACAACACATGTTGGGCGATACTCCCACTGAAGGAGGCCATACCTCTTCATTTATGAGGTCAAGGTCACTGGTGACAGGCCAACTCACTTGAGTTCAGAGGAACCCCCACCCCAATTTGGCTACCCTTGGGGTGCCCAATTGCAATATTAAAAAGACATTTTCAGGGAAGAGAGACAGAAAGGAGAGGAGGGGGAATAGAAAGAAGCTTTTCTTGGACTCAAGCTTTTAGTTAGACATCCAAAGTCAGGTTCCTGGCTACCAAATGGTCAGATCCAAGGTTGTTCTGGGAAGCTCTTGAGGCCATCTGGGCTATTAAAAGGAATGGTTCTTAAAGATTTATATCTTATTTTACATGTAAGCATGTTTGCCACATGTGTGTTGGGAACTGAACTCCAGTCTTAAGCAAGAGCAGCAAATGTTCTTAACTGTTAAGCCAGTTCCCGATTCTTTCTTAACAAACAAACAAACAAGACATTCATGTTCATACCCCAGATGATCTCCAGACCATTTCAACAAATGCATTTTTCAGGTCTTCCTCAGCTATATATTGGGTTGGGGGCCAGCCTTAACTATGTGAGCCCTTGTCTCAAAAGGAAACTCTTTTTTTTTTTCTTTTTTCTTTCTGAGGCACAGTCTCACTATGTAGCCCTAGCTGGCCTTGAAATTGTGAAGACTCTCCTCTCTCTGCCTCCAGGGTGTTAGGAATAATGGTGTGCACCATGGAAATAGGTTGAAAATGAAATAACATGCTAGCTTTCTTTTTCTAGTGAGCATACATAGTCTTCTGATTATTAGAAAAATCTTTGCCTTTGCCTGGTCAACACAGCTCTGTTAAGAGGAGTTTTTCCTGCTGGCCAGTCTGGTTCCACTACCGTACCAGCCCCCAATAACACACAGAGACACTGTTTTAGATATAAAGCTATCAGCCAGTTGCTAATTTATTATCAGCTAGATCTGTCTTAAATATTAACCCATTTCTATTAATCTAAGTATTTCCATGTGGTGTCTCCTTACCGGAGAGAGGACCCGGATCTCTGTTCTCTCAAGTCTCTACATGCTGACTCCTCCTTACTACTTCCTCTCTCCTCCTTGTCTCCTAGTCCCGCTTATCTTGCTTTCCTATTGGCCAACAGTGCTTTATTCATTAGCCAATAAGAGAAACATTTACAGAAGGCATCTCCCATCATCTCCTCTTTTATGTCTAAAATAAAAAGAAGGATTTTAAACTTAATGTAGTAAACTATATAACAAAACAGTTATCAAATAAGAGCCACAGTTAACAACATTTAGTCCATTAACATTTAGTAAGATTTAAATAAAATATTTCATCATTTATCCTACCTTTGAGTCTAAAGTCCTATATGTAACTTATCTTTAATCCTAAGGAAAGCTATAACCATAACTGTCTTCAACTCTATCAAAGATCACAGAAGGATAATATATAAACTCCAGAAATGACAGAGACAACTCACCTGGTCAGTCACCTGAAGTTCTTCTGTAATGTTCCATCTTCAGCATATAGGCCAAAGTGTGTCTGGCAGACTCCTCAGCAAAGCAGGAAACTTTAAACTGTCCACCTGTATTGGCAGTTTGTCAGTCATTTTTCTCTGTGGCCTGCAGAATGTCTGGCAGACTCTTCCATGAAGCAGGACTCTACAATAATGTCCATCTTGTATCAGCAACCACTTTCCTGTGGATCGTGCATGCCCAGTTTATATAGCATAAAATCAATCAGTCCAGAAAAGAGCAGTATCTTGCTCAAATGGCTAGTTTTGCCATATTGAATGTAAATTCCATAATGAGTTTCTTCGATGTCCATCTTCCATTCTGATGCAGGTGGTGTTGCCAGGAACACTTGTGCCTCACTGTCAAGAAAAACCCTAAACCATTTAAAATGCCATATTCTGTAGGTCTTTGAAAGGTTTGAAGAATGCCTATTTATTTCAAATACATCTCTATATATCTAGAAAAACCTAACTCACCTAACTAAAAGTTTTGACTATTATAGTTAACTATCTATAATCTGTGCTAAATTATACATTACATTTCTTTTTATTTATACATTACATTTCTAAATGAGCTATATAAACACAATTCCTAAGCAAGAGGAGAAATATACATATCACAAAATTGACCTTAAATTTGTATCAATAAATGAAAATCCATTTCAAAACAAAGCATTCATATCTATACCATAATCCCCTTTTTACCTTTAAAAAGATTGGTTGTGGTCATTAACCATTTATAACCAACCACATATAAATGAAAACAAACATTTTAAAACAGTATTTGGGAATTTGGGCGTAGTTCTTTCCAAACTGCTTCCTGCTGGTAGGGGGCGCTGTCATGGGGATCCAAGAAGACACAGAAATCCTGGCTTGTCCCAGTTGTTTTCGAATGTTGGATTATCTGGGACGCTGTTTCAGGGGGTCTTGCTTGATCAAACCATGTTAGTCTGGAAAAAAAATCCACAGCTTTTCATTTTCTGTGGAAACAAAATTAGAAATCGTTTCCCCCTAACCTGTCCTTAGACTTAAATTTTAGAGTCAAAGCATTTTTAAAATATGTAAATTGGATTAATCCAGCAGCATTTGTTTTTAACAGTTGTTGCTATTTCCTCAGCAGTCAAATAATTTAAAGATACAGAACAGCATACAGTATCCACACTCTTTTTGTGCTTCCCATCTTATGTGGCTTTTTTCTTTATTACTCTATTTCTTTCATTTTTATTTTTTCATTTTTTTGAGACAGAGTTTCTCTGTGTAACTTTTATCTTTCCTGGAATTAATTCTGTATACCAGGTTTACTTTGAAATCACAGATATTGTAAGGATGGAAAAATTTAGCCTAATTTTCCCTAGACTCTGCCCCCTAGCAGTAAGTAGGAAAAAGGTCATTCTTGACTGTTTACAACAGGGTGGGTTTACCGACAGCACCTGTGAGTGAATGAGAACAGGAAATGAGCCATGCCACACTACCCAGGAGGCCTAGCGAAAGCAGACTTCCTGGGCAAAGCTCGGGCTTGGATAGTTCAAATTGATTGGTCCACACTGGATGCTATTAAGATGATTGATTTGTAATGCAAGGGCTTTGTTGTAACCCTATAAAAGCTGTCTGAACCCTGTACCCAGGGTTCCCAGTCCTTTACCCCTCGTGGAGTATGGCTGTGGACCCCAGTGCACTGGAATATAAAAGACCTCATGCTTTTGCATCAAGACCGCTTCTCGTGAGTGATTGGGGGGGGGGGTGCTTTCCTGAGTCGGGGGCATGAGGGTTCGTGCCCTCCACGGGTCTTTCAATATCTGCTTGCCTCTGTCTCCTGAGTGCTGGAAAAGGCGTGTGCCACCACACCCACCTACTCTCTGTCTTTTCAAAACCATTTTATTCTTTTTCTCTCCCAAGCCTATGTATATTTTAAAATACACTGTAAACCTTTAGCGGTTTTTCTTAATGTGAATCTGTCTTTACTGTAAAGCTTTATCTTTTTCTGGCCATGAGTCTTTTATCTGGTAAACAACAACACTGCTAAAATGAAAGCCACGGCTGTTTTAGCTGTGGTCTATCCAAGATGGCGGCAGGTACTTTTACCACCAAAACTGAGAGCTGTGCTCATCGCCTTGGTCTATGCTGCCATCCAGCAGCATGCTGCCGGCTTGGAGATGTGGTCACTGCCATTGCCAGCTCTCATACACATCATTCAGTTGCTAGCAGAGCTCTTTAAAAGCCTTGCAGTTTTTGCAGCTTATGCTGAATCAGGAAGCCTCCCTTAAAGGAGCCGTGCGAATCTCTGCTTGTTTCTAACAAAGCAGAACCCAACTGAGAAAATGCTGTTACCAAGAAACCTTGCTTGTCTCTGTTCTTTTGTTTCTAAAACCATTTTTAAGCTTTTGCTAAGTTTTGAGTGGAAGTTCTTATTAGCCACATTGAAGGCGCCATTATATTATAGTATGTTTTTTCCCTGCCGGTTTGGTCCCACCGCCATGCCAGTCCCAAATAATACACAGAGACTCTGTATTTGATATTATGCTGTTGTCCAGTTACTAGTTTCTTATCAGCTAGCTCTGTCTTAAATATTTACCCATATCTATTAATCTAAGTACTTCCACGTGGTCTTATCTTACCTGAGAGAGGCTCTGGCATTCTGGTCTCTCTCAGTACACCATCTTGAATCTCCTCCCTACTACTTCCGGAATCCTCCTTGTCTCCTAGTCCCACCTATCTTGCCAACAGTGCTTTATTCATTAACCAATATGAGAAACATATATATAGAATAACATCTCCCATCACACACACACACTATATATATATATATACACACATAAATACGTACATACATATATACATATATAATACATACATACATACATACATATATATATATATATCTGTATATCTAGGAAACCTAACTCTCCTAACTAAAGTTTTGACTATTATAGGTAACTG